TGGTTCATTCCCATTTCTATGTCTTTTGTGTTTTTAGAATATTCTTTTTGTTTTCTTTCACCACATATAAATTCTACATCTCTTTAAAAGCCTTTTCTTACTTTTATGGTCTTCACTGTTTTCTCTTCCTTCTGAGCTCTGGAAAGTCTTCTAGTCAATCAGTAAATATTACTCAGCCATAAAAAGGAATGAAATTGTGTCAGTTGCAGAGACGTGAATGGACCTAGAGACTGTCATACAGAGTGAAGTGAGTCAAGAGAAAAACAAATATCATACGTTAACACGTATATGTAGAATCTAGAAAAATGGTATAGGTGATCTTATTTGCAAAGCAGAAATAGAGACACGGATGTAGAGAAAAAACATATGGATACCAAGGGGGAAAGGAGAGCGGTGGGATGAATTGGGACATTGGGATTGACATATATACACTACTGTGTATAAAATAGATAACTAATGAGAACTTACTGTATAGCACAGGGAACTCTACTCAGTGCTCTGTGGTGACCTAAATGGGAAGGAAATCCAAAAAAGAGGGGATATATGTATACGTATAGCTGATTCACTTTGCTGTGCAGCAGAAACTGACACAACATTGTAAAGCAACTGTACTCCAATTTAGAAAAGTAAATACATATATCTCCCTATACCTTCCTGTGTTTCTCTCTATTTTTTGCACTTTCTTCCCACCGCGCCTTGAGAGAACAGATCGTGTGTAATATTTCTTCCCAATCCATCTTAGAATTTAGAGTCGTGCTTCTGAAATACTACTTTATTACTATTTCCCTTTGGAGGATATATATTTTTCTCTAATTGTTCAAGATTCTGAAAATTCAGTTTTACAAATGTTTTTGATTTTGATTCTCTGCTGAGAGCTGTGGATGAGAAAAAAGGAATAAGTCACGGCCCCTGTTTTCCACGTGTTTACAGGCCAGGAGGGGCAGGGGAAGGGATGGGTAGCTTTTGGGGATGGGGGATAGAGTTGCACATAATTGATGTTAATAGATTTTCAGCGGACAGCGCAGTCACGGAAAGGCACGGGGCTATACACGTAAATAACACAGGGGCTCCTGTGGGAAAACACTAACTGGGCAGAAGCAGTAAAACTAAAATAGTTTCTTGAAACTTTTCTCAGCCTGTCTCTCGGGGCTACAGACCATAAACTGTGCTTCCTCTTGATGTAATGTGGAAAATTCTGCTACATCCATAATCGTAAGGCAAAAGAAGATACCATAGTAGTCAAACTTAGCATTTTGTCAGGTGTCTTCTAATTTTCCCATTTTAATTGCAGTGAGATTTTAAGTGATAATTATCTCATAAATGAGAACAAATCAACATGACATCAAAGATAATCTCAAGGGTACCAAGTGCCGAAGATCTTTAAATACTTTAGAAATAGTACAGGGCAAGGACTCTATGGTGGAAGCTCAGTTTTGTTTGGAATGCCGTGCGGCTAGAGCTTATGCTCTGTTTATCAAAGACGTAAACTTAACAATATTTTTTACCTAGTAGTGCTCGACTTTTGTGTACAGAAGTGATAAGTTGATAAGAAAAAAATTGAGGGGGGGGGGCGAATTCCCTGGTGGTCCATTGGTTAGGACTCCACGCTTCCATGGCAGGGGGTGCGGGTTCAATCCCTGGTCAGGGAACTAAGATCCTGCAAGCTGCATGGTGCAACCACAAAGAAAAAAGAAAAAAAAAATTTTTAGAAAATGTCAGAATGTGGCACTAGTGCAGAATGGATTCAGCTCCCTGCCCTGTCTGGAGTGTTTACAATTTAATGGGGGGGGATAAGTGAGGTTTACAGGTAACTTTTGAATTGAATCAGCATTACATATACTATGCTTTGGCAGGTCTGTATTTTACTGGCTGTCTAACAGTGACCGCTGGGAAAAGCCTTGATCAGCCAGGCCACCTCTGGAATCCTTTTACAGAAGAGGCAGGATTGGAAGTCAGCACCTCCATATTCTCATGCTGGATTTCTTACCTCCCACCTGTGTGACCAGGGGCAAGCAGCCTATCCTGGTCTTAACGTTGGTACAGCGAGGGGATTGGACTTGAGAGTTTCTTTTTCTTTATATTTGTCTTGATAGCTTTTACTATAACTTCTTCATTTCAAGGGTGTTTCTAATATGCAGAAGTCTAGTCCCCAAAACAAAACCAATAAAGCACGTAGAGATCAGAAAGAGCATAGCGTTCGAAATAAATTAACAAAATGACTAAATCCAGCTCAAGGGCAACTCACACTAAAGAAGGGTTGTAAACTCAAATGTCTAAAGGTGTCCAGGTCTAAAGGTCCAGGTCTAGATGTCTAAAGGTGTACGAGGAAGGTGTCCAGTTTCTGTTGCTGTATGAAAATCTTCTCTCAACTCGACGGCAAAAGCAGCGGATTTTGTCCTAAAGAGACTAGATGTTCATAAAGAATGTTTTGTCAACATTGCTTTACAGTGTTGTGTTAGTTTCTGCTGTGCAGCGAAGTGAATCAGCTATATGCATACATATATCCCTTTCCTCTCGGGTCTCCCTCCCACCCTTCCCTCTCCATCCCACCCATCTAGGTCATCACAGAGCACCGAGCTGAGCTCCTTGGGCTATACAGCAGGTTCCCACTAGCTCTCTGTTTTACACATGGTAGTGTATATATGTCAGTCCCAATCTCCCCGTTCATACCACCCTCCCCTTGCCCCCGCCGTGTCCACACATCCGTTCTCTACATCTGTGTCTCTATTGCTGCCCTGCAAATAGGTTCATCTGTACCATTTTTCTAGATTCCACATATATGCGTTAATATACGATATTTGTTTTTCTCTTTCTGACTTAGTCTGTGTGACTTACTTACATTGTAAAGCAACTATACCCCAATTTTAAAAAAAGAGGACTTCCCTGGTGGTGCAGTGGTTAAGAATCCGCCTGCCAGTGCAGGGGTCACGGGTTCGAGCCCTGGTCCGGGAAGATCCCACATGCCGCGGAGCAACTAAGCCTGTGCGCCACAGCTACTGAGCCTGCGCTCTAGAGCCTGCGAGCCACAACTGCTGAGCCCACATGCCACAACTACTGAAGCCCGTGCGCCTAGAGCCCGTGCTCCACAACAAGAGAAGCCACCGCAGTGAGAAGCCCGCGCACTGCAACAAAGAGTAGCCCCCACTCGCCGCAACTAAAGAAAGCCTGTGTGCAGCCACAAAGACCCAAAAATAAAATAAATAAATAATTTTTTAAAAAAAGAATATTTTTAAATAAAAAATACAATCATATATATATGATTATATATTATATATATTTAAATATATATGTGATTATATATTTTATATATAAAATATATAAAATCATATGTATATATTTTATATATAAAATATATAATCATCGATTATTTCTGATTTCAGGAATAATTTCCTAAAACCCAATGTTTTATTCCTTACTTTTGACTTTGAGTTAGATTCTTGGATCTCAGAAGAAGACATAATTTAGGTGATTTGCTCAAGCCCTCTCAATTTATAGATATAAAATTCTAGCAGAAATACATGAAGTGTCATCTAGTTATATTAGTTTAAAAGAGTGCTTCTCAACGCTCAGAATCCCCGGGAGGGCTTGTTGAAACAGAGACTTCTAGCCCCACCCCCTGAGATGCTCGCTCTGTAGGTTTGGCATGGGGTCTGAGGTTCTGCATTTCTAATAAGTTCCCAGGTGATGCTGCTGACGCTGCTGGTCCAAGGACCACATCTCAAGAACCATTGTTTTGAAATACCTCCTTCTCAGACTGAATTGGAGAACTTGTTTTCTTTCTAGGGGAAAATCTTTCAGATGTGTTTAGATTTTTTTCTGCTTCAAGTTCAGCCACCAGATGAACAGTCTGGTGGAACTCTGCCACCACCACTGCCCACACACTGGCCTGGCTCATGCGGTGAAGAAGACACTTAGCAGGAGTTATAATACCATGAGGTAGAAGCAAATGCATGTATTATAGATGCACAGAGAACTGTGAATAGTTTAACCAGCTTTTAAATTTGCACTGCCTAGCTATACTGCCCTTATCCGAAGTTTGGGGGATAAATTTAATTAGCACAGACTTCCCTATTTCTGGGTTCTAATTCCCCAAATACTTTCTTGAGCTCAGTATTGATTCTTATTTTACAATAATGTGATTGTCATCTGAATGGAAAAGCCCCAGAGTATAGTTTCTCTAAGTGGATATTGAAATTAATTAGGAAATATGAGAATTTCTTTAGGTATAAAATCTGATGTTGTGGTCAATTCAATGAGTCTAGAAATGTGATCTAAACATTCATAACAGAAAAGTGTCATATACTTCACGTATTTCTAAAATTCCAATATTTTATTACATTCTTTAAGTAGAGTATATTCTCTGTTAAATTGGAAATCTTAACTGTGTCCATTTCTTTTTGGTTTTTTTTACAGTTTTTAAAAAAATTTTATATTGGAGTGTGGTTGATTTACAATGTTGTGTTAGTTTCAGGTGTACAGCAAAGTGATTCAGTTATACATATACATGTATCTATTCTTTTTCAGATTCTTTTCCCATATAGATTATAACAGAGTATTGAGTAGAGTTCCCTGTGCTATATATACAGAAGGTTCTTGTTGATTATCTATTTTATATATAGTAGTGTGTATATGATAATCCCAATCTCCTAATCTATCCCTCCCTACTGTGTTCATTTCTTAAAGCTGGGCTAAATAATTTGTTTCTCTGTCATGTACTGGTTGTTCAACCATGACTGTTTTACAACTGAGGGGAAAATCCAGAAAATCAGGACGAGACAAAGAAAGAAGAAAACAATCACAAGTCAAGGGCTCCCAAACTGAAGATGATTTCTCTTACGGAAAAAAAAAAAAAAAAACACACCTACCCCCAAATGGTTGAATCATGCTTTCATGTGCCACTGAAAATACTGTTTTTTTAAAATTTTTATTGAAGTGTGGTCGATTTACAATGTTGTGAGAGTTCCAGGTGCACAGCATACCGTGTGTTTTGATTCCAACAGAAAACCAAACCCTTGATGACAGAATTCTCGGTGAAGTCCACCATTATTTCCCGTTATGCCTTCACTACGGTTGCCTGCAGGATGCTGAACAGAGCATCTGAGGACCAGGAAATCACGTTTCAGATGCAGATTCCAGCCGCAGCTTTCATCACTAACTTCACTATGTAGGTGACACCCTGGTCAGAGACCCTGGGTTGAAGATTTCTAGGCGGGAAGGTCAAGGGGAGCCTGAGATGCTGTGAGGACCACAGTCTTTGGCCGTGAGAATTTATAAATTCTCAGTCCAGTGGACAGTTCGTGGGAAAGAAGGTTGATTCCCTCCCCCGCTTCCTCTCCCTTCTTCCTTCTATCTCTCCCTCTCCCCCTTCCTCCTTTTTATTACCTCTTCTTTTATCCCATTACTCTCTTCTTTCCTCCCTCCTTTCCTCCCCCCACCTTCATTTCCTCTTTCTTTCCCTCCAACAAATGGGTACCCACCCTGGGCCAGGCGTGCTTCAAGGTGATTGGTCTACTTCTATGAAAAAAGACAATGTTGCTCTGCTCCAGAAATTCCACTGGGGAGAAACAATAAACAAGCAAACAGATGAATAAATGAGATAACTTCAGACAGTAGCAGATATTGTGGAGATGGCAAGTAGGATTGAGGCGGCTTGTTTAGTTGGGGAGGTGGATCAGGGGAGTCAGTGTTGGAGTTGAGATCTGAAGGACGAGACACCATGAAACCTTTGATGTACCAGATAGAATATCTTTCTTCTTTTCTCCTGAACTAAGAGGTAAAGAGATGCAAATTAGGTGTATGGGTTTAATTTTAGGTCTGGGCAAGGTTCAAGTTGGTGAATCTTCTTGGAAGTTTGAGCAGGTCGTCTGATTTCCTCCTGGAGAATCAGAGGCCCCCTGGCTTGGATCTTCCCATTTGGACCTGTTGAAAATTGCCCTAGAATGAGATGAGTGATACAAGGGGAGTGCCCTGGCCTGGAATGCATTCTTTCTGCACATCCAAGAGGCAAATAAAAATATTTTCTAGGGTTGTCATGGTTTTGAGATCCATGTTTGAGTTTGTCTTGGACGGCAAGCTGGCAACGCGGCTGTCTTGTGTTTCAGGCTTATTGGAGACAAAGTGTATCAGGGAGAAATTACAGAGAAAGAAAAGAAAAATGGTGATAAGGTAAAAGAGAAAAGGAATAAAACCACAGAAGACAGTGGGTAAGTACCATTGAATTAAGGAATTAAAAGTCCACTTTAGCCAAGTGTCAAATTTTCTACCCTGCCTACCCATCTTGTTCTCACCCTTTTCTTCAAAGATTTATCTTTTTATTTTTTATCATCATCATAAATAATTAAATATACCTGGTTAGGGACTTCCCTGGCCATCCAGCTGTTAAGACTTCACCTTCCAGTGCAAGGGATGCGGGTTCGATCCCTGGTCAGGGAGCTAAGATCCCACATGCCTCAGGGCCAAAACACCAAAACATAAACCAGAAACAGTACTGTAACAAATTCAATAAAGACTTTGAAAATGGTCCACATCAAAAAAAAAAAATCTTAAAAAAAATACAGATATATACCTGGTTAACAATATAGTAGCTAAGGGTTTATGATGAAAAGGAATATTTTATCGCTCCCATTCCCCAGTTCTCACTTTCTAGAAACATCCACTTCTGATATTTCTGTAGTTTTCTGGAAGTTACCTCCCTCACTCTAAATATTATGATAGTTTTGCTTTTTAAAAATTTCATGATAAAAATCAGATATTATCTGTTGATTCTGTGCTGTAAGAAAGAGGATTTAGCATGCTTACAATACTCCCACTTGCTCTCTGCATTCCAGCTTTTTGTATTATTATCTTTTTCTTCAGTTAATTTAAGCAGAGTTATACCATCTTAGATGAGCCCTGTTATCTTCAGTGATAATATTCTCTCTCCTTCATGTCATCCTACCTTTTCATTTCCATTTCCAGCACTCATCTCTTCCTACTTAATCATTTACTTTTGCATCATCAGAGTTATCACCATTAAAATTCTGATCTGTTGTGGTATTTGTATTCTTTGTCTATAAACTGAATCTAAACACTGAAAACCAATAAATCAATTCACTTTTAATGCCTCCGTAAATAACATTAGCTAGAGAACCACCTAGTATACTGAGAATAATCAATTTCCCTCTCTACCAGCCCATTTGAAAAAAAGTCATCTGTTCCGTTTGAAGAAAAACGATCTTAGTATCTAGAGGAAAAGGTGTGGGCTTTATGAGGATTATCTTTTCTTACACTTCACAAATTGTGCAGAATCAGGCAAGCCACAGTTCCGTTTAGTAGGATCACAGCAGGAATCTGTTTTTCCTGGAGGTCAGCTGTGTCAATCCCCCTCCCCTTTGCTCCCTCAGGTCTGACACAAGGAGACGTGGGAGAGTTCAGTAGTTTTTGAATTCTCTGCTCTTCAGAATTCCTTGAACCTGTGTGACCTTCCTCTAGTACAGGCCTTTGCTACTCCTCCCAAAACTAAATTCTAGTTTTTCTTTCTAATGTCAACTGAAAAAATATGCACAACCTAAAAATCAAGAATTATGTTTTATTGGAGGCATTACTGAAGACTATAGCCTGTGAGACAGCTTCTTAGCTCTGAGGGACTGTTCTAAACAGGAGCCAGGATATAGAGGAGTTTTTGCTGAAAAAAAAAAAAAGGTAGTCACACATCAAAAGATTACTGCTAATCACACACACTGAAAAACAACAGACATTTCGAATTGATGAATTCAGTGCTTCTGTGTATAGGAAGATGCAAGAATCTGGGCTCTTTGAAATTATTCCTTAGATATGCATCTTAACTATCTAGGGCCAGTCTCCTGGTTTTCTCCTTCCTGAATCCCCTCAGGATGCATCATGGGGGCAGCTGCAGTGGCTGGTGGCTTGATGATGGGGAAACATTGTGGTCCACGCTAAGGCCTCTCGCTGAGAGAGTTTGGCCGGGGCGCTGGGGGACTCGAGGGAACGTGGCTTTCTCCGATCTCCTGTTCCCTTTTCTCTTTCTTCCAGGGAGAAGGGGACGGAGACCTTCAGAGCCTCCGTGGTGCTTCCCAGCAAGGACAAGGCTGCCTTCCTCCTGAGTTACGAGGAGCTCCTGCAGCGGCGGCTGGGAAAGTACGAGCACGTGGTCAGCGTACGGCCCCAGCAGCTGGTGGGGCGGCTGACGGTGGAGGTGACCATTCTGGAGAGGTCGGGCATCGCGGCGCTGGAGGTGCTGGGGCTCCAGAACAGCCGTCGCCAGGGCAGCGGGCGGGGGCAAGGTGAGCGGTGCTGGCCGGATGCACTCAGGTGTCGTGTGCTGACTCCAAGCTGGGCACTGGCATTAAACCAGATGGCACCCCTGCAGCACGGGCCCCAAGGGGAGGGGGAATCTGAAGGACAGCAGCAAAACAAAGACAGTGCCCTGTACATTTTTTTTTAAGCCAGGCTCTATCAGGAGATTTAAATGTTCAAATCATTTGACACTGTCATATCACTTCTGGGAATCTAACCTCGGTGAGACATCTAAAATATCGGTACTGTTACATGTACAAACCCGTTTGATAATATTTGTAGTAGCAAAAACATTCCTTCATCCTAAGTATTCAACCACACAGACGTGATTAGTAAAATAGGGTTACAAAAACAATTCAGCACGTGATAGAGAAAAAAGAGACACAGTTGTACATACACTTTAATGTTAAATATGTTAACTGTGAAGCTGACAAAAGACCAGGAAGTTATATAAAATAATCATTTTATACTAGGGGTAAGGGAGTATGTGGTCATTTTCTAATAATCTTTTTTTATTATTTTATTTTATTTTTCAATACTCTGTTTTTAAAACAAACTTTTGACATTAACGTAAACATCTAAATAATGTGCTATATCTTTCTAAATTTAAATAATGAAAAATATGTACTGCCAGTTTGACTTAAGACACAGACATTTTTTTCTTCATTAGTAAGATTGCTCAATTTGCTTTTTTCTCAAATTTTAATTTTTTAAATAGCACTCTGTTGAAATGAAAATGAAAAATTCAATCTAATCTAATATTAACCACTATATTAATTTCCACTAATAGTTTATATTAAATATTCACTTGCATTGTGCCTTATCCTAAATATATCAGTAAGGCTTTATGTCAAATTGGTGACAACATAGATGTGCCCCCAAATTCACTGGGGTTAGAATGACAAAATTTCGGATATCTGTGACACTGAGATCAGGGAAGTGCTGAGTGCTAAGTGATCATGGAGTGTGCAGAATCTGAATTCAACCCCTGTGACTGCAAGGAGGGTCCAGAGTCTCCCAAGAAGGCTTCCTGTACAAGAATATTTAGGGATGAGGTTGGAAGGAGAGGAGAGAAATAACTTGACACGAGGAATAACAGAATGTCGTTATCTTACATGATGCAAAAACAGTCAAGAGCCGGAGCTGGTACGTGGGAGAGTAAACAGTATGGAACATACGCGTTCTGCCCCCAGCACGCAGTTCAGTGAGTGACTCTGGATGTGACAGTATGGAACATATGCGTTCTGCCCCCAGCACACAGTTCAGTGAGTGACTCTGGACGTGAGAAGTCGTTCACCCTCAAAGACTGGAGTGTGGATTCAGGTCTATTATAAGTTGACTCCAGACAGTGGGCTGGCAGTCCATCCAGATCTCGTCAGACAGTTACAGATATCATCAAGGGACCTGACATTCAGAAATGGCATGAGATACATGACACCATTCTTAGGTCATCTGGGTCACTGTGTGTATGGTTAATGGATTTTCAATCAGTTATGAACTATGTCCTTGAAAAAAGCTGACCTGGGCCGTGTGAGACTCAGCTTACGTATCTGTAAACAGGGATAGTAACTGTCTCTTAGGGTCATTGGGAAGCATTTGTGTACATGTGGTGCCGAGTAAGAGCTTAATCATCATAATTATTATTATCCCCTTCCATTTACTTTTTTTCTCTGCAAATCTTATCTCCCCTATGAGATCATAAGTGATTTTGAAGCAGGTCTTTGTCTGATTAACCTTTGTCTCCTTACAGTATTAAACACGATGCGTCTTAAAGAGTAGATAGCTAATGTGGTGTCTGCAAAGTAGAGAAGAAAAGGAAGAAAAAAAAGGAAAAGAAAGAAAAAAGAAAAATACACAGCTAATCTAATAAGAAAGAACACTTAAAAATTTCATTTCTCACTAATCACAATTTAGTGGGAAATTTTCCCACGTGGGAAGTATGGTCGTCCTGTTGTAGGAATGAAATGGATGTGTGTCTTGCCAGGTTCAGAACCACTGTGACTCTTCAGCGGTGTCCGCGTTGTGGTGTGTGGGTTATGCTTGGAGGGGACAGGTCTGAATCCTGTTGTTAATCCTGTTACTGCTTATCTGCAGGGCCTGTGGGAATCTCAGAGGAATTTTTCCAGACCATTGATCTCTTGGGAATCTGTTTATTTTTAAGAAAATTGTTTTCCTGGCTCTTTGCACCAGAGTAGATATTTTGCCTTCCAGAGCGAGAGGTCTCACAGGCCATTACCCAGGCCAGGTGCAGTGGACCGGGGCCCTCTTGCCCCTCATTCCCTTCCAGAGCTCAGCTGTTCCTCTTCCTGTAAAATGGCAGCCCCAGGAGCCAGAGGCATAGGATGTTGTGATTTTGTCTGGACGCTATTGCGTGTTTCCAGAAAGCATCCAGGATAGAGGTGCAGCTAGAATAGCACTTAGACCAGGACGTTGGCTGTGATTGTGTGAATGTGGACCGGAGCCAGCACATGCCTCTGATAGATCTGGCTGTCCTTAAGAGGTAAGACTTCTGGACTTCTCTGACCACTGGACCCCTTGACATCTTTACGGAAGCAATTCTAGATAAAGATGACTATGTGCTAGCTACTAGACTCGGCCCTTGGAGACAAGATTATCTCCTTCAGCCTCTAGAACAGCCCTCTCTGGGAGCTTTTGTAAAATACTGAGGGTGTGAGTTCAAATTCCAAGTCTCTCCCTAGTTACGTAAAAAGAAAGGGAAAGGCTAAAAGCAGTGGAACCTACCTTTGCCTCAGTTTACTTGTCCGATGTATGGGGATTGGACCCACGGCTATTGAATCGTAAATGAATGGGGTTTTTCTCAATGTGAAAGCCAATTCGGTGAGATGTACTTTGGAAGCCAAAGCATTATACTTTCTGGATTATTAAAATAGTTAATTCACATGCCTGGTTCAAACTCTAAAAGGATACAGATTGGTATTCGGTGCAAGACCAGACTCCCTCTCTCATCCGTCACCCTGCTCCCCTCTCCTCCAGTAACTGTCCTCTGAAATATTTTTATGATTGATGAGCTCAGTGGAACAGAGTATTTGAAATTAAGGCTTTTCCTGGAACATCCCTGGATGTGTGATCTTCTCAAGTCATACACCAGGATAGATATTCCATCTATGTTTAAAGCTGGTTATTTCACTCTCTAGGTTAAAATCTCAAACTTCTAATGGCCCTATGGCACCAAAATTACTGCCCTTTCCGTGATTAAAAAAAAAAAACACAACAACTGGAGGGGGGCATAAAACTTTCATTTATGATCAGATCCCTGATGGCTAGGAGTAAAATAAAATGAGATAAACAAAATAAGAAATAAGGTACCTTGCCTGTTTTATCCCCTTTTGCTTTTACATCAGTGATGCTCAAACCTGGCTATACCCTACAGTCACAGGAGAGGTTAAAAAAAAAAAAACAAAAACAGATGACTGAGTCCTACCTGAAACACGTGAATTAGAATTTATCCAGGTGAGGCCTGGGTAGCTGTATTTCTGGGGTTTGATATTATTTGAATTTCTATGAGAAACATTTTTTATGAGCGCTTTTTAACATGCTTATTTATTTGTAAAGCTAAGGAACAATGTTGAAACTTTTTTCTACCACTAAACAGATATGGTTCTGTGGCTTTCACTGTTTATCGCTTATATTCTTTGCTTTTTGAAAAAGCAGTTTTTATTGAAGCTTAGTTTGCATAGCATAAAATTTTCTCATTTTAAGTCTATAATTCAGTGATTTTTAGTACATTTGCAGAGTTACACAACATCAGCACAATCCAAGTTTAGGACATTCCTATCACCCCGAAAAGATATTTGTGCCTACTTGCAGTCACTCCCTGTTCCCACCTCAGCCCCAGGCAACTACCAATCTACCACCATCTGTCTCTGTTTTCAGACAGCTGCATTTTTTTGGCGGTACGCGGGCGTCTCACTGGTGTGGCCTCTCCCGTTGCGGAGCACAGGCTCCGGATGCGCAGGCTCGGCAGCCGTGGCTCACGGGGCCAGCCGCTCTGCGGCATGTGGGATCTTCCCGGACCGGGGCACGAACCCGTGTCCCTGCATCGGCAGGCGGACTCTCAACCACTGCGCCACCAGGGAAGCCCTCAAGTCACTTTTGACCGCAGACTAGCCTGTGTCCCGCATATCTGTAGATGCCCAATGAGGGGTCGGTTGAATCTGTTTAAGAATCTTATTTCTCTTTTTCTTTGCTTGGTCTGTTAACCTCGTGACTCTGCCTTTTGCTGTGAAGGCTCTCAGGATTGTAATCAAGGTACCTAGTGTGGGGCCTGGCATAGAATGGGTGCTCAATAAATATTTGTTAGAAGAATTTAGGAATAAATAACTGTCGGCAGTGAAGATGCTATTGGGTTTTCAATACATTCCTGGTTTAAGTTGGTCAATTTTGTCAGCTCTTGGGTGTAGCTCTTATTCTGTTGTGAAGGAGGGATTAGGAGACAGAATTTGGTTCCAGAAGACGGTTACAAGAATCTAGATCCCTCCCTTTTCCAGAATTGCCAGATAAAAGACAGGATGCTCCGTTACAGTTGAATTTCAGATAAACAGTATATCCTGTGCAGTATCTGAGACATACTTATCCTAAAAAAAATCATTCGTGGTTTATCTGAAATTCAAATGTAACTGGACATCCTGTCTTTTTATTTGCTAAATCTGGTGCTCTGCCCTATTAAAGGCTGCATGTGACTAATGGTTCACCCCCAGCTCTGGTTCCCCACTGCTGTGTGTCTTTCCCCTGGATCCAGTCTCCAGTCTGCAGCTGGAAGGGCATGGCCCCTCTTGGCCTCTGTACATTTGCCAGGAAGCAATCTGGTTGTTATGTGAGGGTTTCCAGCATTGTTCAGTGCAGAAATTATTGAGGTATGAATCATTTGGCTCCATAGTTGGGTTTGTTTTTTTTGTTCTGTTTTTAATGCTGATAGGAGGACCCATGTCACTTGTCTGTTTGGACGTTGGCTCTAGTTGGGTCGGCG